ATATCTTCATTTCACAGATGAACCCATTGACACAGGAGAATCAAATTCTCGGCTCAGGGCCACACAGCTGGTAAATTTTAAAGCTGGGTCCAAACTCAGACAAACAGGCTCCATGACTTATGGCCTTTGCCACTGTCCCATTATGTTTTTAAAAATTGTTTTTAAAAACCTTTCTTATCTAAGAAATTAAAAGAAGTCAAGGGAAAAACTCTCTTAGGGACTTACAACACAGAATCCATATTCATTTAAAAAAACCAGAAGCCAGGTGTGGTGGCGCACACCTGAAATTCCAGCACTCAGGAGGCTGAGGCAGAAGGATCACTGCAAGTGCAAGGCCAGCCTGGGTTACAAAGTGAGCTCAAGGCCAGTTTGAACTGCATAGTGAGACCCTGTCTCAAAAAGAGAAAAAGAAATCCAAGTATTTGTTTGTAAAGTGGATTAAAGATGAACAAATAGGAACTGGGTCTTGGGCCTGCAGAAAGCCTATTTAATCATTCAAAAAAGACTGCTTGATCATGATGGTGCCAAAGAAATCACAAAATATTACAGTGCTGTCATAGTGCCACTTGTCAAACTGTCTAGAAGTACAGCTCTGTGTGCAAAGACTGTGGTCATTTCTCAGGGACTCTTGGAGCCCTCTGCTCTAGCTGACAGCGTCCTCTAGCCACCCTATCACCTCTCCAGGGGGTCTTTCTTCTCTTCCATCCAGCCCAAGGATTTAATGAGAGATTATCCAGGGGTACCCCATATTCACTGTAATATCAGAGTCACTCGGGAATCTCTTAAAGTACAGATTCCAGGGCCTATTCCTTTGCCTTTGAATTCCAAATAGCTAATGAGGAGTCTGAGAATCAGCATTCCTAACATCTCTCCAGGCCATGTGGATGCTGTGCTGGACTCAGGGCATCTTAGTGAACTCTCCCTTCATCTACCAATCACTGCTAAATCTCCAGCACTCATTTTAATTGACAACCACACATCTGCCATGTTGTCTTCTGGACCATTTGCCTAACTCCAGAATGCTTTCTTCTTTTCTCAGTTATCCAGCATCTCTTCATGCTTTCTGCTGTCCTTGACCAACTGTTCTCAACTCAGCATGTTGCTGTCTTCTCAGAGTCAATTCCCTTGCTGCTTTGCCCCCAGAACACATACATTATCTAAGCTACTCAATTCTGCCACAACCCAGTCAGTACTGATCAAGCATCTCTTAAGACCTGGAGCTGTTCTAGAAGCTCTGAGCTAACAATGCCTTAGCTTCTGTGATCCTCCTATTCAAAGTGTGGTCCATGGGTTGACAGCCTCAGCATCACCAGAAGACATATTAAAATGCAAATTCTTAGACCCTACTCCAGATGAAGAAGGTCAGACTCTGCATTTCAACATGTTCAGAAAATTCATATACGCAAGTGAACATTTGACAAGAGTTGTGCAGGTGATCCAGGAACATCTAGACAACGGCAGAGAAACCATCTCATCTTCTCTCATCTCTGTCTGAAGGGCTTTATCTGCGTTCTCTTCATTACCCCAAATTCACTTTCCTCATTCTCTGCAACAGAGATGATGCCTGCTTCCTAGCGGAGTTGGGAAAGTATTAAGGGAAACATCTATGCAATTCCCAACAGATAGAATCACCTGGTCCTTAACTTGCTTTCCAAGATTAGGGTTCCTGTCTTTACTTTCCCTGCTGTTGCTTTGCACCTGTGGCAGGACCTAAACAGTCGATTAGCTTTCTCCTCTCAAACTCCGCTCCACAAAAAAACATCTCTATCTTCCCTGTTGTCCCAAAGTCTTGTTCCATGTCTGACCTTCCTTTCATTTCTCTTCCTAAAATAACAGAAAAATGGTGCCTCCAGGGTTGTAGCATTCACCCCGCATTCTTCACATCCACCGTCTCCATTCTGCGCCAACTACTGGAATTCACTTCATTTTGCATTAAGATTTGAAACTTCTTTTGTTACTAAGTTCATTGGCCATTTCTCAGGATATAACTTTTATTATTCCAAAGATTACTAAATATCCAAGGTTTACAAGACCCTCAGGAACTCTGCAATCTTTTTCATGGAATCCTTAGGCTTAATGAATTAAAAGAACAATCTTATTTATTTAATAATTAGACCCAAACAACATGATAGCAGATATTGCTTTGCTTTCTTAAAAACTGTATAATGTCCCACAGTGTACCTGTGAGTTTGATGTGGTTCCTGGTGGTGCCTTGGTACACAGTTTAAGAATATGACCTGCCCCCATTCAGTTCAGTACCTCCAGCTGCCTGCTGAAGTTCTCCAAAAGGGGATAGGTGGCCACCATCTCTATCTCTAACTTTCTACAGGCAATATAGGTGTTGTCTCTCACAGAAGACCAGGAAGTGTATTTTCCCACTTTTATTAGCTATCACCAGTCAGCTCAAGGGTGTATGTGACCTTGGACTCCCTCTCAGGTATATCCTATGTCTAGTGAGTCATGGGGATTGTTAATGCTAATTTCTCCCATTACCATGTATCTTAAGGCTTTGTGGTAACAGCACTGTCATGCAGATCTTACTAAACTCATGTGTGGACTTGGCAAGAATTGCCCCTGCCCTCAGTTTCTTCTTGGACCTTCCACTCTGTCCCAGATAGTCTTCCTTTTCATAGGTCCCAAAGACTTGCCTGGCTTTCTTTTCCCAAAGGGGCTATGCCTCAGCTTGAATATCCTTCCCTTTGTCAGTACTCAACATATCTCAATAACCAAGGCAGTATTTTGCTATCAGATCAAACCCGTGACCTTGCACATCCTAGGCAAGTGCCCTGCCAGTATTTCTCCAGGCACCTGCATTATCTCATGTCGTTCTCCACCCTTCATGATGTTCCCTCATGAGTAAGACATAGCTCAGACATAGTTCACCCCTGTGACTGCAGAGAGAGAGAGCTGCCTCTGTCTGGGCCTCTCAGCTCCTGACACAGAAGTGGGCAACAGCCCATCCCTTCCAAACCAGCTATTTGTGATTCTCCCCTTCAGTTACCCAGACAACTCTAGCTCTTGGTCCTTTAATTGGTTTTTGGTGTTAGACATCATTTGCAGATATTCACCTTTTGTATGTAAGTACTACCATTCCCCCAAAGGATGTCACTATACTTTTCATCCCAGGCACTCCATAAAATAGCCACTTGCAAAATAACTGAAGGAAGTCTTTTCATTTTCAAAACTATCCTGACTCCAACCTCATATCCTAGCCAGGGGGTGTACTACTGGAAATACTTTTAGAAAATGTTAGAAGCTAAGGTTTTTTTTCCTTTAACCACCAATGTTCTCATGGGAAATCTCAATTTTTTTCCCAAATGTGGCTTTTGCATACAACTAAA